TGGGGTGGGGTGGGACACGTGAGGTGCGTGCTCAGAAGGGGGCGGCGTGAAGCAGCTGTGTGCGCAACGGGCGGCGGCGCGGTACTGGTTGACTCACGTAGAGGGTGGTGACGAAGACGATGCATGAGATGATGCCGATGGGCATGTCCCGGGACGGCTTCTTCACCTCCTCAGCCATGGTGCTGACCTGGAGGGCGGCGCCAGGGGGGTAGATTGTGCAAGGTGCGCTGAGACAGTGTTTCCCCTTGACGCACAAAGCAGCGGCGAGGTCGCGCATGCGTTTGCTGCTTCAACCCGAATCACTCGAGCACAGACGCAACGGGCCGCTGCTGTCGGGCCGCAACCCTGGCGGCAGCAGGCACGAGTCTGACTGATCAGACGTGGCGGCGCGACTCACGCAGTCGAAGCCGATGAAACTGAAGAAGACGAAGCTGGCGCCGTTGAAGATGCCTGGTGGGGGACCGGGGCGGCGGCCCGGGGCTGAGCGCAGGAAGCGCTGCAGGGGCAGCACCCACACCATCACGCATGCGAACCTGCAGACTTGGCAGTGCACCCGTCTCGTCTCGCGGGTCTGGAAGCAGGGGTGGTGCCGGCTGCTGCCGAGAGTCGTTTTACGGAGGGCCTCAACCGCAGCGCCGCTCACCGCGGATCCCATAGCTGCCGTCCACCTCCGGGGGCACAAAGGGTACCAGGTTCTTGGGGTCCGCCTTGACAAAGCCTGGGGTCCATCAACACACAAGAGCAAAGATGATGCGTCAGGGTACAGCCCCGGGCGCCGCGATTTGGAACTGGGAGCCTGTGCCGATGAAACGTTAGAGCGCATGCTGTCGCATGGGTGGCGCGCGGAGGTGCTGCAGCTCGACCCGCCGCCGCATGGGCCCCCGCGGCCCGGCCCGATTACCCCCGGCCCCTTCGGCCCCGTGCCGCCCACCGACGATCAAGATCATCAGCACCACGGCCACGTGGACGATGGTGATGATGAGGTTGGTTGTGTTGGAGTGCTCGGTGGAGAAGATGACCAGCACCACGCACACAAGGACCAGGCCGGCGGCGAGAGGATCGACGGTCAGGCTGTCTGCGGGGCGCGCAGCAGCGAGGCGGCACGCAAGCCGAAGATAGTGGGTGGGTGAGTGATGCCGTTACTGGCAGCAGCAAGGCCGCGCAGCCATTGATGCAGAAGCAAGAGGGCGGCGCGCACAGACCTGGCAGCCCTTCTCGGCTGCGTGGGCAAGCCTGTTTTGCGGCCCTCGCCTGCCTGCCCCCTTGCCCTGCTCGCGCCTCCCGCGGCGCCAGCAAAAATCTCCACGTGCTGTCGGTGCTGAGCCGCACCTGAGACAGCAAAAACGAAGAACTCTGACGTCTTCCCAATGAGCTGCCCAAAGTAGGGCGCGAAGGAGCGCGCCACAGCTGCGTTCGCCAGCACATACTCGAGGATGAGGGTACACACGCAGGCAAACGCGACCCACTCGCCGCAGGAGAACAGGATGTAGTTAAAAGCGCTGCGCGGAAGCGTGGATCGGAGCGGCGGGGTCGTTGGCAGGGGCCGGGGTCGGGGGCGTGTCAGGCGGGGCGCAGGCGCCAAGGGCAAGCCCCAGGCAGAAGCTGCACAGGCTGTGGAGGCGCGCGTCGCTCCTCAACGGGGGGCAGGAGCGTGGATGCGCAGGGCAGGCTGTGCGCTGCGCGAGCGCGCGCGTGCGCAGGCGCACCCGCCGCTGAGGGGGAAGCGCACGGCGAACTCGGAGTAGCAGAGGGTGGAGAGGATCGCCGACAGGCCCGCCAGCAGGAAAGACAGCACCACCGCCGGCCTGGGGGATTGGGGGCAGGTTTGACGCCGCGTTTGAACGAGAGGGCCGGCAGGCGAACGCACTGGCGTCGCACGTGCGTACTTCTGCGGCCGTTGCGGGCACCAGCTGCACGGTCAGCAAACCGCGCCGGGAGCCGCAAGCGTGATGAGAGCGTGCCGAGAGGCCCACCCCGCGATCTCGGCGGCCGCCGTGCCGGTGGAGACGAAGATGCCTGGTGCGGCAGCAGTGGGCGAGAGCGTGAGGGCGTCAGAGCACCAGTCAGTGCGGCCAATGGAGCGGCGCCTCTCCCGGCCCGCCAGCAGTCTGTCAGGGCGGGCGCAAGGGCCCTGGCCTGAATCTGGCGCAGCCGCCCGGGCTGCAGGCTAGGGGACATCCCGCGCCCGCATGCCCGCGCGGCAGGGCGGACGTGAAGGCCGCAGATCTGCGCCCATCAGACCTGGCGAGGCCCCGCACCTGCTCCGAGGATGAGGCCCACGCCGAGGCACGAGACGTGGAACCAGTTGAGGCACTTCTTGAGCGAGTTCTCCTCGACCTCCTCCACGGCATGCACGGGGGACAGGGCGCGCTGCCAGAGCTCGCACTTGCCGTAGATGGACTTCATACTGCGGGAGGTGATTCGTGGCGTAGGGGGTGCGTTGCTCGGCGGCGTCCTGCCGGGGGGCGAGCGCGCGCCGGCGGCTGCCGCGGGGCTCCGGGCCGCGTCACTTCCAGGGCGGCGCGTCACCGCTGTCGCCCGCACCCCGCGCCTTGGCGCGCCGCGCCGCGCAGCTGCCGGGCGCACCTCTCCAAGTAGTCCCCGAAGTCATCGAAGCCCCATTTCTTGAAGCCCGTCATGCTGGCCCGGCGCGAGCCGCTCGGTGCTGATGCGGCAGGAAACAATCAATCACGTGGCGCGTCACGCGGGGCGCGCTGTGTGGCTGCAGGGCTTCAGTGCAGTGCGCTGAGTAAGTTATCGGGTGCTCCAAGCACCAGAAAGCTTCCAGCTGGTGGTAGGCTGCGAGGGTGCCACGGCGATCGGGTGACCCGGAGAGACAGAAACGGCTGCCGAGCTCGCCGAGAACGCAATGATGCACAATTCTTATAAATCAAGCAAAGCCATAAACATGCGGTCGACGTGTAGGCGCAGCAGCATTAATGAACACGTGGACTCGTCATCTGCCGGCACACAAGAAGCCCTCGTCCGGATGACTGTCGTCCTCTGGGAGCGAGCTCTCCAAAATGTGCAGCATTGTGTTTTTCGGAAACTTTCTTGGCTGGGCGGCCCCACCCGCTTGATGCTTCAGAAGTCAACGAAGCTGAATGCATCTGTGCCGAAGACGACCCGCTTCAGATGCATCGGCAACCTCGCTCATGGGGTCTGGCCGCTCTTTGCTGTGCTACGCCTGGTTTCCTGAAAAATCAACATTTAACTCTCCTGCTATCCAAGAGAATCCACCCGGTTGTTTGCACCAGGCAGCACAGCAGGCGGTACTATGCAGGGTGCGTGGCGCCTCCTCGCCGCCTCGCCGGCAGCATTATCGGCTTACGAGCACGTGTGTACTGCATGATGAGCCTGGGTTGAGCGGCATGCCAGCATGCTCGCAATCTCTGCTGCGCTGGTTGCATACAGCTTTGGTTGCAGCCAAGTGCAAAGATGCCAGTGCCCCACGTGACTGAGTGGGAAGTGACAAGCAGCCTGCTTCAATCATGTATGTGTATTCAAACTTAATGCCAAATCAAATGCAGGAGATGGCGTTTGTTACCTTTGGAGAAACCATACTGGGCACGTGCAATAATGATAGTCAACAACAGGGCAGGACGCAAGCACCCCTGCTCACGGCAACTGCTTGAATCTGCAGCAGTAGTCAACATAATAGCACGGCACGGCACGGCTCAGGCCTGTATTTGTTTGTATGGTGGGCAATGGCTCGCATGCATGGGGGCGCCGGGCTTCTGGACCGGATTCAGACTGGCCTTCACCACGCTGTGTGCCCACGCAGGTGCGCGATTTGGCCTGTTGACCGCCAAGTGGCCCCGGCGCAGAGGTTGGATTCTGCATATCAAAACTTCGAAGTAGCACAGAAGTCCGCTTTCACACCCTCTGGCGGCCCCTTGTGCAGTCTCAACGATTTGAGCGCATGCGATCTTAGGCGGGCAGGGCGCTGCCGCAGGAGCACAGCAGCAGGATGGGAAGCGCAGAAAGCAAACCCCGTGCCACGGAAGGGGGCGACAACCGGGTGATCGGGCGTGCAGTCGGTATCACCGGCGGAGGCCCTCTGAAGCGTGGAGCAGGGCCACGGATACCTACAAATGCGGTCAGGTCGAGCCTAGCAGACCAGGGCTTCTTGGAGGTGTGCTCGCCGGACGGGCATGCTGCCGCCTTAGCCAGCGATGCCCAGGACAGATTTGCACGCCCTGGACCCAGCCGCTGCCGCCGCCCATCCAGCCGTGCTCGCCTGGCCGGGGCGCTGTGCTCCTGTTGCCTTGTGTCTTGGCGCCACCTGCCGCCCGCCCCAGGGGCCGGCCTGCTCCTGCGCCTCGCGGCGGGAAGCCCTGGGGCACGCTCATTAGGGGAACCTGCCCGGAACGTGCGTGCGTGCATACGTGCGTGCGCGCGCGCGCGCAGGCGGCTCTGAGCAACGTGCTGCTGTTCAAGAACTTGGACCCGGGGATCCAGAGGAAGGTCGTTTCAGACATGTGGGAGCGGGCGGTGCCGGCCGGGGAAATTCTCATTCAAGAGGGCGATTTCGGCGCCGCGGCGAGCGAGCTGTACGTTGTCAAGGAGGGCAAGTTTGAGGTGCGCCCGGAGGCGCGGAGCACGGGCCGTCTTGGACGCGCCTTCTTAGATGTTGCCTGCGGCCCGCCGGCGCGGCGGCGTGTGAGGCGCCGGCGGCGTCGTGCCGAGGCGGTTGAGCTCGGCCGCGCGGCAGGCGGGGCTGTGACGCGCGAGGCCGCAGTGCTGCAACCAGCAGGGCCCATTGCTGTTGTGGCAAAGGGATAAGCATCGCGCCTCGTGGCTGGCGGGCTCGCAGCGGTGCCAGCAGAGCCCTCTGGCGCCAGCCCCACCGCCCGCAGCGGAACCGGCTGCTCTCGCGGGTGCGTTGGCGCCCTGGGCCCGACCCCAGCCGCCACGGGCACCGACCAGCCCCGCCGCTCCCCTGATTGCTTCTGGGGGCCCGGCCCCGCCTTGCACGCCGTGCAGGTGCTGCAGAAGCGGCAGGGCGTGAACTTCCGGGTGAACCTCAAGGAGCGGGGCGACTGCTTCGGCGAGGTGTCACTCATGTACTCGTGCCCCCGCACGGCGACGGTGGCGGCGACCACGGACGCCGTTGTGTGGGTGCTGGATCGCGATACCTTCAGGTGGGCGCGGGTGGCGGGTGGTGCAGGAGGGCGCCTTCTCCGGCGTGCTTGCAGAATGAAGCAGCGGCGCGCCAGTGTTCCAAGGCTAGCCCGGGGCCTGACAGCCGCGCCCTGCGGGGCGACCGGCCAGCCCAGCAACCTCCCGCCAGACAGGGCAGGCTGACGCCGGCCGGCCCCCCGCCGCTGCCGCCGCTTGATTGCCGGCCAGGTTCTACGTGCGGGACGCGGCGGAGACGCAGGTATCCGCCGTGGAGCTGTTCCTGAACAGCGTGCCGATCCTGAACCCTCTGTCGCGGGAGGAGAAGCTGCGGCTGGTGGACGCGTTTGAGCAGCGGAGCTACACCCCCGGGAGCGAGGTGCGGGGGGCGAGGAGGGGGCGTGGCGGGGGCGGCCGGGACGCGGTGGGGGCGGCAGGGCGCAGCGGCGGGCGCTCGAGGGGCCGATGTAGGGGTGGGGC